CTTTAAATTAGAACGAGCTTATAAACTACAGCTTTATTTTGGAAACACAAGTTCAACGAATTGAAAGTTTAACTTTTTGGGTTTGCTAATTCTTTATTTCTTTTCAAAGCTTCTCTTTTTGTAGAGACATTTTGTAATGCATATTGTTTTATTTACTATATGTAAAGCGACCATTCTGGTGCTTTTACAAAGAAGCTATGCTATGTTATTTTAAAAATTCCTCTAAAATTTAATAAAGCTTCTTTGTCCCTATACAAAGTAAGTCTAGCTTAACAGCAATACTAATACTTTATTAAAATATTTTATTAAAATTTAACAGATAGAAATATAACTTAGTTAATGTGTTTTTAAAAGTTGTATTAGATCAATATAAGTTTGTGTTGCAATAAATATCGTTTTTAATCAATAAAACTACCTGGTTGTTGCAAACTCAACAAAATAAATAATTAACAATTATAATGTATGGTATGGTTGAAAATTTGAGTTTTTAGTTTTTTAATAATGCCGCGACCAAGACGATCGAATCTTTCCCGACAAAGCCGTAATGCAAGAAGAATACGAAATACTGCAAATTTAAGGACTGAAGGTCGAGCGAACAACAGAGGTCAACAAATAGATAATTTGCGATGTGTACTAAAATACACAAATAAATTATGAATGATTTTTTTTTTGTATTTTTTCCAATTAAAAAAAAACTGCTTATTTATTGCCTTTAAGGCGGAACAGAGTTCGCCGGGTCATCTACTAGTTATATATATAAATATACACTATTTATATATATAACATACTAGTAGATGACCCGGCGAACTCTGTTCCGCCTTAAAGGCAATAAATAAGCAGTTTTTTTTTAATTGGAAAAAATACAAAAAAAAAAAATACCTACATTAATCATTCATAATTTATTTGTGTATTTTAGTACACATCGCAAATTATCTATTTGTTGACCTCTGTTGTTCGCTCGACCTTCAGTCCTTAAATTTGCAGTATTTCGTATTCTTCTTGCATTACGGCTTTGTCGGGAAAGATTCGATCGTCTTGGTCGCGGCATTATTAAAAAACTAAAAACTCAAATTTTCAACCATACCATACATTAAAATTGTTAATTATTTATTTTGTTGAGTTTGCAACAACCAGGTAGTTTTATTGATTAAAAACGATATTTATTGCAACACAAACTTATATTGATCTAATACAACTTTTAAAAACACATTAACTAAGTTATATTTCTATCTGTTAAATTTTAATAAAATATTTTAATAAAGTATTAGTATTGCTGTTAAGCTAGACTTACTTTGTATAGGGACAAAGAAGCTTTATTAAATTTTAGAGGAATTTTTAGAATAACATAGCATAGCTTCTTTGTAAAAGCACCAGAATGGTCGCTTTACATATAGTAAGTAAAAAATATGCATTACAAAATGTCTCTACAAAAAGAGTAGCTTTGAAAAGAAATAAAGAATTAGCAAACCCAAAAAGTTAAACTTTCAATTCGTTGAACTTGTGTTTCCAAAATAAAGCTGTAGTTTTTAAGCTCGTTCTAATTTAAAGCACGGCAAGTGCTTTGGTTGTTGTCACTAATTAAATAAAAATAAGTGACAATAAAACCTGGAACTTGAGCATTGAAAGTTTGTGCAGCCTTGACTTCTTGTGGATAACACGATTAGTCATCGCTTCTAATTTGACAGGCACGAGTTCTAAGCCTGGCATTTGCAGTCTAAACAAATTATATCGGACTATAAACTAATTAAATAAAATTCGATTATTTCTAAAGACCACTGATGAAGAGTACTTGGCAATACTCGAAACAGCGTTGTATGGTCAGCCGAACTTCAATAAAATTAAAAATAAATTTTTGTGTTTGTACTTTATTTCTTTCTTTGCTATTCGAAAATTCCAATAAAATATTTTCTTATATCAAAAATTTGATAATTTCAAAACCTACTTTGTCGTGAACGGGATAAACAGGTATCCTATGTCCTTCTCCTGGCCTTAAACTACCTCCCTGCCAATTTTCAGCTAAATCGGTTCAGCCTATATCCTTCTCCTGGCCTTAAACTACCTCCCTGCCAATTTTCAGCTAAATCGGTTCAGCCGTTCTTGAGTTATAAGTGGTGTAACAAAAACACATCTTTCTTTTATATATATAGATATAGAGTATTATAACATATGTAATAGAAGAGTCATTGGACATGTTAATTATGATTTAAATATTAGAGACATATTTAGTAGTGGAAGAAATTACTTTCTACATTTACATAAACCAAATAGGTTAGGTTGTTTAGACATCATTAAATAGTACTATAAATTCAGGTTAAAACTGAAAAAAAAGCTATATATATATATATATATATATATATATATATATGTGTGTGTATGTAGTTCTTTGCTTATTACTATTCCTACTAAACTTACTATTCCTGCATCCATTTTGATTCTAATTAAGTTTTAAATCTGGTTTTGAAAATCAACTTGCTGGAGTCGATGTACTTTTTATGCAATCGGATGGTGGTTTAACTCAAATGGATAATTTTCGTGGTGCTCGGGCAGTTTTATCGGGTCCAGCTGGTGGTGTTGTTGGTTATGCTGTTACTGGAGCGCGTGAAACAGATTTACCACTTATCGGATTTGATATGGGTGGCACTTCAACAGATGTTTCAAGATTTGCTGGGACATATGAGCATGTGATAGAAAGCACTACAGCAGGTGTTACAATACAAGCACCACAGTTAGATATTAATACTGTGGCAGCTGGTGGCGGTTCACGTTTATTTTTCCGTTCGGGTCTCTTTGTAGTTGGCCCTGAATCTGCTGGAGCTCATCCCGGTCCAACTTGCTATAAGAAAGGCGGTCCGTTAACGGTTACTGATGCTAACTTAGTACTGGGCAGAATTTTGCCGCAATACTTTCCTAAAATATTCGGTCCCAAAGAGAACGAACCTTTAGACTATTTAGAGACAAAAAGAAATTTCGAAAAACTTCAAGTTACCATTAATGATTATTTAGCGACCACTGAAGAGAAAAACCATATGTCAATAGAATCAATTGCTTTGGGATTTATACGCGTAGCAAATGAAGCTATGTGTCGTCCAATACGTGCTTTGACACAATCGCGTGGTTTGGACACATCACGACATGTGTTGGCTTGTTTTGGCGGTGCTGGTGGCCAGCATGCATGCTCAATTGCTCGAGAATTGGGCATAAGTAAGGTTAGTCATAATTTATTTTTCATCTTGAAATATATTTATTAATTTTGGCTACTTTTAGGTTGTAGTTCATAAATATGCTGGTATTTTATCTGCTTACGGCATGGCACTTGCTGATGT